AAATAAATAAATAAATAAATAAATAAATAAATAAATAAATAAACCAAGAATATTTATGAAGGTAATTCATAGCCAGAAGACAATGGGCAAATGTATGCATTTTTTATTAAAGATTATTAGAAGATGGCCCAAAAGATGACCCTATGACCTGCATCACTTAACTTCAGATTCTTGTAGTTGAGACATAAATAATCAGAGGCAAACAATTTGAAGTATTTTAATGGACATACAATACTTCACAAACAATCATAGTCAATTAAACACAACCTAGTACTGGGACTTGAGCCCAGAGCCTTTGCACTAAGCAATAACCCCAGCCTTTTAAAAATTTTTGTTTTCAGACAGGGTCTCACTAAATTGCAAAATTGCCAAGGCTGGGCTCAAACTTGAAATTCTTGAGGTTATATGTGTGCACTGCTGTGCCTGGCTAAACAAACTTTTTGTGGAAAAAGAAAAGCATCAATGTTTTTAGAAAAATGTTTTTTAAGACAAATGATCTTGCAATTGTAGTCTACAAGGCTATGAAGAAATTCAAGTGTTACTGTAGAGGAGATAAAAGAAAATATGTTCATTTAACATTTATACTATATTAAAGAAGAAAATAGTTTAACTCACATAAAATAAAATTCAAAATGTATGTAGAGATTGCAAATCATTTCCAGAATTTGAAGGGGAAGAGTTGAGTAACTAAAATGTATTGTTTTAAATATGTTAATTTTATACATTTATTTTGGTTCAGAGAAGGGAACTGCTTAGAGCTATGTGCCTGAGATCTGTGGCTCCTTCTTAAAGGGAAGATTCAAGATAGAAGAGAAGAACCCTAATCTGCAGGCTCTGGAGCAGATAGCAGCCAATAAGCCAAATCCAGAATGCCACCTGTTTTTATATGATCCATAAGCTAAGAGTAGTTTTTACATATTATAAATGGTTGGAGAAAAAATTAAGGTGAAAATATAATTGTAACATGTGGAAAGCAATGAAATTCAAACTTCACTTTTCAAAAATAAAGTGGAAGGCCGGGATTTAGCTTGGTGGTTCTGATGCCTGCCTTGTAAGGACAAGGTCCTGAGTTGGATCTCCGGTACCAAAAATAAATAAATTAATTAATTAATTAATTAATTAAAGTGGAATAAAGCCACAGTCACTCCTAAGTTATTGTGTAAGGCTATTTTTGTGCTAAAACAGCACAGCTGAGCAGTTGCAAAGTCTAAAATATTTACTATCTGACCTTTTACAGAAAAAGGCTGCAAACCATTGCTCTAGAGGAAGGAGATTAATGAAAGCAAATATGAACCTGATTTAGAGAACTCCAGGCGTCGGAGAACAGAAGAGGTGGAGAAAAGAAAGGAACAGGATGATTGATGCAGCTCATGAAGAAGCCAGACAGGAAGGCAAACCAATAGCCTCCTTGTATCTTTGCCCTGAGACAAATACCAGGAAAGAAAAAGATCTATTAAGGAAAATTTCATTGGGTAAAACTCACTGAGCCACAATTAGGTGCTATAAGAAAATCTGGGACCAATATGTAAAATAAGAAATTTCATCCCAAACTCAACAGAAACAAAAAGGAAATGCAGATGGTTTAAAGATGGGGCGGGGGGATGGAAGGTGAAGTGGAAGGGCAAGAAGGAAAGAACAATAAAAAGTTACTTGCCTGGGGCCGGGGATTTAGCTCAGTGGTTTCCCCGCCTGCTGCGCAAGCGCAAGGACTGGAGTTTGATTCCCCCGGTACCAAAAAAAAAGTTACTTGCCTACAACAATAGGAACATAGTTCCTATAACCTTGGATGTAAGAGAAGATTTCCTGAGCAAGATAATAATACAGTTGGGAAACCCACAAGTCAGAAAACAAAGACTAAAAAAGTTAAATTCAACCGCATACAAACTGAAAACTACCTTATAGCAAAATACATCATAATCAAAGTCAAAGCTAAACCACAGTCTGGTAACTAATAATGATAACATTACATTTTAATGAACAAGAAAACAACCAACTTGAAAAAAAATAAGACACAGAAGAGTCACAGAAAAAGAAATATCCATGGCCATGGATCATATGCTAAGCTGCTCAAGCTTACTATAATAAGGTAGGATTATCTATCACATTTTTAAGATTAAACATTTTAACACCATTTTCATACAATACGTAGGTTAAAAAGTAACAAACTGGAGACTTTCATTCCCCCAAGATGTGGGAAACAGTAAGTTCTGTCTTTTCTATCAAATAAGAGTGACTCCAACTTGGACTCTAGCCCATCCTAGATAGCCCTTCCTGAACCCAGTAAGTTACAGAAAATGCCTGCTCAGTTCCAATCCTGGAAACACAGCTACAAATTAAAGTAATCTTTTCACGGACCAAGGATTTTCTGTTCTCCACATTCCCTTTGCTTTGCTCTCCCTTTCTCTCAGATTCTCCTTGCGCCATCTGAGTTAACCAACCGGGATAAACTGTGAACCTCCAAACCGACCAATGGGAGAGAGGTCAGGGTTCTTTACAGGGTTCTTCCTGTGCTAAGGATGAAAGGGGCAATGCTCCATCGCCTGTGCACCTACTTACTACCTCACGCTCATGTCCTTTTGCAAAAGTAAAAAGCCTTGTTCAGATTCTTGATGTATGAGTGCTTTATTATCTGCACCTACAAATTGAGTCTGGGAGCTCATTTCCAACAGAGAGAAAAACCCTAAAATCATTATTGGCTGACAGTGACTCTAGATAGGCAGGGGCGGGTTAATCAAATTTCCTGTATTTCAAATATGTTAATGATTGTTTAACACAGTTCTAGGAAAAAGCAAAAA